TAGCAGATGGCAGTCTAGTGTGTTGACAAAGATACTGTGTCAGGCCAGGGATGGCCCTTCACAGCAAATATTGATCTTGGGAGGAAATCAAGGGTCTAGCCAGACTTTCCTGGAGACCCTGAGGAGAAGTGTGGCCTGTTGTGGATCATACACTTTCTGCCAGAAGCAGAGACAGAGACATTGCAGCATTTCACTATTAGTAGTCACATCATGATTTATCTCAAAATTGTGGAGACTGCCATACGTGTGTGTGTGTGTGTGTGTGTGTGCGCGCGCGCGCGCATATGCTTTGGAGCTGCCTCTAAACTCTTTACCCCGGCGATGATTTTGGAGCTGTTATTGTGCTCCACAAGCACAATGATGGAGATGATCAGGTAGAGGATGGCCGCTATGAGGGTTCGGAAGAAATCCTGTAAGGAGTAGAGAGAGCAGGGAAGTCAGCATCCAGAGTTCCCAGGACAATCCCAGGTGCTGAGGCCCCTCCCTAGCCTAGCCACTTCTGTCCCCTTTCTCACACTCCAAGGCCAGTTGATGATCCCTATCCTGGTGTTCAGGTCACACATGTAGATGACATAGAAGACAGCAGCAAGGACCATCTCAACCACTGACAGAGAGACGTATGCTGATGTAGAAGCGATGAAGCAGATCAGAATCACCAGGCACAGTATCTGGAAGGATGACATGAGGAAGGGGACCTCCATCAACTCCCTGGGCTGAGGGGATGGGTTAAAATCGGGGGTCTCTTGGCCCAATCGGCATGGCTCAGTGGTTGAGCATCGACCTACGAACCAGGAGGTCACAGTTTGGTTCCCAGTCAGAGCACATGCCCCAGTTGCAGGCTCAATCCCCAGTGTGGAGCGTGCAGGAGGCAGCCAATCAATGATTCTCTCTCATCATTGATATTTCTATCTCTTTCTCCCTCTCCTTTCCTCTCTGAAATCAATACAAATATATCTTTTAAAAAATCAGGGGTCTCAAACTCAGATGCCTACCAGGACATCTGGGAAGATGACAAATAATCATAGCTAAACACTTACTGTGTGCTCATTGTGTTCCCAATATTGTTCTAAGAGCTGTACAAGTATTAACTCACTTAACCATCCCTACAACCTAATAAGCTGGGTACTGTTATTAGTATCTTTATTTTATAGATGAGAAAAGTGAAACAGATATTAAGTGACTTGCCCAGGGTCACCCAGCTAGGAAGGGTACAGTTGGGTGCCTCGGTTTCCTCTTTTCCCTTCTATGATAGGGGCGGCCTGCTGGGAGTGGCCCCGCCAGGTGTTTTGTGAGCAGTGCTGGAGCCAGCCTGGGGCGGGCGGGACGTGCAGTTCCCCAGGCAACCCCTTTGGGAAGCAGTGAGAGTGACACCAGAGGGGCAGGGCTCCGGTTAAAGGCACCGCACCCTTTCACAAGTGACTCAAATGTGGCGTCCACTTTGAGGAGGGGCGGGAACAGCTAAGGCCCTCCCGCCCCACCACAGAAGGGCCAGGAAGAACCAGAGAACTGCTGGGCGCCCAACCCGGAGGACTAACTCAGGGCTCCACCCCAACAGGCCCCGCCCTTGGGCGTCCCGCCAGCCCGCCCGGCAGGGCTCGGG